TAAACCCTATAAACCCCGAAACCTAAGACAGAGTTCCAACAACCGAGGGGCCTCGTGAACAGAACCAGGCCCCGGCCAGCGATAGGTCGGAGGCAGCTCTGCCGACTCGTGAGAAGCTTCCAAAGTGCCCTGGCAATCCCGACATTGGGTTCCACAAGTGTGGGTGGGGGGGGGGGGGGGGGGGAGGATAGGGCAATTGTAGGCTGAACTCTGTGATTGGGGCTTTCGGGTTGGGCCTTGAGGGCTCTAAGCAGGCTTTTGGGGCCTTCGGGTTTGGGGCTATGAGTTTGACAGGTCTCGAACATGGCTGTTGAAGTTGGGGCCGTGGTGGCCGTGGGGGATGGGAAGTCTTAGCCGGGGACCCTGCAAAACCCGCTTGACTTCTAGAAGAGTCACGGCAACACGAAGTAAAGTCTACCATGTCACAATGCTGCCACACCTGCTATAATATGCTATAACCCCCTGATGTGACAGAGTCTCACTTACCGAGTCAGCTACCTGAAGGCTCGGCAACGAAAGCCCCCCTGTGACACCTACAAGGTAAGGCGCTGTCACGTACCTAGAACAGCCCGGTGAAGTCTGCAACGTGATTGTGTAATCAGTGGTCGAGATCGGACTAGACCTGGATGATGTGAAGTGGACCTCAATTCGAAGTTGACAGGTTTAAGGCTACAGATTGCGGTGGCCAGTGAGATTCCATTCGTCTTACTACGGTACCCCCCACTCCCAAGCGAAAAAATCAACTGCCTTCTGGCCTTCACTGGCCGCTATATAGCCGGTTCACACGAACAGGATAAGCAACATGATACCTCTATCTCGCATGCCGTTTGGGTGCCTGTTCTATGGATGGTCGGGGCATGATCTCAACGAGGGCTCCGCTGTTGAAACACAAGGTTGGCGTTGAGTGAGCCGCCCCCTTCCTAACGCAGGCACAAGCCTGAAACCACAAGATCGTCCTTTTACAGCCCACCTGCCTCCAGGAAGGAGGCGCAAAAGCGCTCCTGATGTTCGTGCAGAGAGACGGAAGGATTTGGAGAGAGCTGGCAAAGGATGATAGGGAACCGATCAGCTCCTTGCTCTCAATTTGGGGGGGGGGGCCGAGTGATCAGAGTGGGATTAGGGATATATTGTAGTATTACAATGAGAGGGGGACTACTGATTCCTCGACCCAGAGAGACTGGACTGTTGCCTACACAGCGTCTCGCCTGGGGGCCGAATTCGCGATGGCTTTGGGCTACAGAAGCAAGGGGTTTCCGGCAGGCAACCAGCCCCTCACCCTGACTCCGACTTGTGCGTGGCCTGCGGAAGGCAGACATTTTTAAGCCCCAGTAGGCCCTTGCAAGGTCAAGGGGGCCCACCCAGACTGGTTCAGGGCCAACCGTCGCTTTGTGGCACCAAGACTCGATGCGGTCAAAGGCCCGACTCGTGTCCAGCCAGAAACCAGTCAGCTCATCCCAGCTCCGGAACCTGCAGCGAAAGTGCAAAGCTCCGGTTTGGTTTTCGATTCATGCTCTTCCATCCCGAGGTTCCTGGCCTCTGGGAACTCACGGGTTACTGTAAGGAAGCCCAAATTTCGGCGCGGTGTTCTCAACTGAGCGATCTCTTGAACGCCACTCCTGAACAAATCTTTCCCGATCAGGGTGGGTGTGTATTTCTGGCCGACCTGGCGGCGACATTCATGACATTCATTGTCGCAGCCGAGGCGCTAAATATCCGAAGTTTGTGTGCGAAAAATTGATCCAAGCCCCTCAACGCGTGTGCCATGTGCACTCTCCAAACTCTGCGTCCCAAGCGTCGTTTCATCCAGCGCGTACCGGGCAGCATCAGGGGCCTTTCTGCTTGCGACAATGCCAGCAGTCTCTGTCACAAACCACAAGCTTTGCTGACTTTACTTGGCGTGGTAGTTGAAGAACTACAAGTAATATTGAATGTTGCCCCAGAGGGTTCCTGATTGTAGTTATATGATCATATTGTCATATCTAGACCTGCTCTTTACAGTCGGGTGAACAATTACAAACAACACCTGCCCTACAAGTTGGCCTAGCCTAGACCCCAAGTGCGCACGGGGTGGCTAAGGGTTGAAGCTTTGCTGGCTATAGGGTTTAGAGTTCAAACGACCCCTGGAACCAATCGTGATGCAAGGAACCAAGCTCGTCAGCAACCCATGAAACAGATGCAAAGATGCACCACCAGAAAAGACACGCAGCGCAACGGCAAAAACAAACATGAACCCTGAACCATGAGCTATGCTCTTAATAAGATGCTTAGAACTTCTAGCACACTGCTAGCTGAAACAATCATGTGGGAGTTTCCGAAAATAGGGGACCCTAAAATAGTACCCTAAATAGTAGGATCCTCATAAGGACCCCAAAATATAGTTTCGGAAACAATCATGTTGATGACCGCAAAGGCTGCTACAAGCGTTCACCGTCCTCGGCCGCAGCAATGCCAAAGGCCGGCACGCGCCGTGGGTCCAAACCAAAGGGTCGCATTAGAAACCTGGGAAATCGACTTGGGGGTTTAGGGTCTAGGGGTCTAGGGGTCTAGGGGATTAGGGGTTTAGGGATAAGGGTTTAGGGTTTAGGAGTTTAGGGTTTAGGGGTTTAGGGTCCCGGAGGAGGCCCAGTTTAGGGGTCACGGAGTAAGGGCTGATCCAGTTTGCGGGTTTCAGGTTTCCACTCGCACACTCGAGCTGGAAAGGCACGGATTCAGGCGACAGGTCCGCTGCTCAATTAGGTTTCAGGTTGAAGGCTAAGGCGTCGGGTTCGAGACTCAAATTTCAATTTGGGGAAACACAAGAGACTACTATGCTGTGTGCATGTATGGACGGTATGGGCAACGGTTGAAAGATGGTCTTTGGCACAGTATGTCTTTTCGACTCTGTGGTTGCCACCCACCTGGATTCGATCGGTTTAGGGTTTGGGCGCTCGGTCTCCTCTGCCTCGGATCGGGACTTGGTGGGGCCAGGGCTCTGGAGCTTGGAGTGATAGGATGACCCATGCCAGACGTGGCCTAAATTCAGATCGCTCCTGACGTTCCTAACCTATCCTACGATCCTACTACCAACACTGCCAAGAGGGCTTCGGCGCTGACACTCGGACAATCCAGGCGAGGTATGTGGTTGAGTCGGCAAAGTGGAACTCTTGCAACACAGAGGGAGGCGCGGTTTTAACACCAAACTGCCAAAGGGCCTATAAATATCAACTTGCTTATAAGGAGTATTGCTAAGAGGGTTTCGGGTGTAACCACCGGGGGAGGGGGGCCTTGAAGTCTAATGTGCAGCACATCCTGGAATCCGCTTCTTGTGCTGGTGCTCTTGCTTCATACTCGAGCTCTCGGTGCATATTACTGTCATTTGTACTTTTGTCTGCGCACACGCACACCATGGTGGCGACGACTCTGACAACATGGTAGCAGCAGCTGCTGCTGCTTCTGCTGGTGTCGTTGCTGATGCTGTTGCTGTTGTTGTTGCCGTCGCTGCTGCTGCTACTGCATGCTGCTGCATGCTGCTGCTGCATGCTGCTGCTGCTGCTGCTGCTGCTGCTGGTGCTGGTGCTGGTGCTGGTGCTGGTGCTGTTGCTGTTGCTGTTGCTTCTGGTGTTGGTATCGGTGTTGAAGTTGGTGTTTTTGCGGTTGCTGTTATTGTTGCAGTTGTTGTTGGTGGTGGTGGTGGTGTTGTTGTTGGTGGTGCTGCTGCTCATGGCAATAGCTCCGATCATGATGGCGAATGCTTGCAAGAAGCCCATCCCGCGTGTTGTTCAGCGTCACGAAGACCAGATGACCAGAGAATCGAAGAGCCAGGCGCTTCAATACCTGCCGGCAGGCAGACAGCACCCTAGAAGGATTGGAAACCTAGAGTGCATGTACGAGCATAACATACCGCAACACTACACACACACACACAAACAAACCATGACATAACAAACACAACATGCCATGGCATGCCCTGCCATGCCGTAGAACAGCATAGCCTAACAACATAGCATCTGTATATTCTATACTGTGTTTATATGAAAAACAAATATAAGAATAATAACATCAAGAAGCAGAAGACTACTCATGATAATCGTCATCATGGACACGTCGTCATAAAGACAACCATACTAAAAATGTTCGAATAATGATAACACGAACAACAATCGTAATAACAACCAGTAGCAGCAGTTGCAGTAGTAACAGTAGTAACAGCAGTAGTAGTAGCAGCAGCAGCAGTAGTAGTAACAGTAGCAGAAGTAGTAGTAGTAGTAGTAGTAGTAGTAGCAGTGGTAGCAGCAGCAGCAGCAGCAGCAGCAGTAATAATAATGATAATAATAAGAACAATAACAATAATAGTAGTAACTCAACACTCAAAATCTTATCATCCTAAACCTAAAGCCCTCTACCACAATGCCCCATCAGCCCCAAAGCAGACTCGGCAACTTGCTCCAACGTGGACCGAAACAGGCCCGCAAACAACGACGGGTTCGGAGACCCATATTCCCCCGACAATCGAATAGGGATGGGATAGGACGCTTGAGGGTTTTAGGCTTTAGGCTCTAGGGTTCCGCGGCTCAGAGATGTCTAAGACACGGGCCTTCAAAAACAATCAGAATAAGGTTTGGGGTTCAATCTATAGTACATAACTTACAAAATCATAATTATAACATTCTACGGGGATACAAATGCTACTTACAGGGCGGCTAGTTGCTTCCTGGTCCGGGTTCGCCTCGGTAGCTGCCTTGTTGGCCTCTCCATCCTCACCTTCGCCATCCAGCCACATCATGCCCAGAGGAACCTCTGAACTAGCTTGCTTCGCGTCTTGCTTCTTGTGGAGGGCCTAGTAAAAAAGCTCAGGGTGTTGGGGGGCCTTAGGGTTTGAGGCTTATGAGGGCCTTGGGTTTTGGAGTAGGTTGAGGGCTTGCGACTGAAAAGGGTCTACGGGTTCGGGGTAGAGGTTCAGGGTAAGCGGCCAGGAAGAACAATCGAAGAGCTACGGGGTGTTGGGGTGTTTTTGTTTTTATGACAACAAAAACAAAGTAAACAGAGGCTCCCCCTAAGCCCTAAGCCCTAAAAGACTTTTCGAGCTTTCTAGGGCCATGCGTCTTTCAAGCGATCTTGATAGTTCTTGAGGCTCTTGGTTCTTCAGGTGCTTGGCAGTTCTGGGGCTACGGGGCCTGCAGATTGCGTAGTGGGCTTTAGGGGTTTAGGGTAGCAACGAGTGTGCCAAGAGAAGTCAAGACAGAGAGTCTCATGCAGGCTCGAGGCTATCCAGGGTTCCTAACATGCAAGCAATGATTAGAAGTCTGGAGCCTGAAAAACACCCAAAGACGCGGCGAACAAAAGAACACAACCTTCGTGCAGAGCCTTGACTGCCAAAGCCCGCTGTATCTTTGGGTCCTTACCATTCCAGCGAATCCTCACTAGGGGGGGGGGGTGTGTAGTCGAGGGTCTACATTACAGTACCTTATTGCTACGGTAAAACCCAAAACGTAAACCGAAACCAATATCAAGAGACCCGACCCTCCCAAAACTCGGAAATCGCACAAAGGGAAATTCTCAGGACTTTAAGGTTCGGGGCTTGCCAGCCTTAGGCGTTTCTATGAGCGTGAGAACTTCAGGGTTTGAGGGTTTAGGGCAAAGCAAAACGCCCAAGGCTTCTACATCAAGCCCTGGAAACCCTAAAGCACCTACACTTAAGCCCTAAGCCCTAAACCCAAACGAGCAGCCTTCAGCTCTTGGTATTTCTGCCGCCCCTCGGGGGAATACTGTGAGATCAGTGGGAGACTTAGCACCTTGGAGAAGTGCGCCAGCTTTTCCTTGGCTTAAAGGGGTTAAGGCTTCGGAGGGAGTGGGGTGCATAAAAGGCTCTTTAAGAGAGTTCTTTAAAGGGCTCTACAGAGCCCTTTTTGAGGTTAACGGAGGGGTTGTGCAGCAGGGACTCTTTAACAGGCTCCTTTAAGGATTTGTTGTGGGGCGTAGGGCCGTGGCTGACGGCTTTTACGGCTTGGGATTCGGGTTGTTTCGGGTTTCGAGTGTAGCGTTCAGGGTTTAGGTTTCTAATTTCACCTCATAAACAAAGACCTACCTATGGTCTTCATTGTAGTTCCTCTCTGTGGTTTAAACCAATTTTAGACAGGGGATCCCTAAAGGGAATTCCCCTAAACCCTAAACCCTAAAAGGTAACTACAATGGAGACTATCGGAAAAGGTGCACAGGATCTCCAACTCAGCCCGGCTTCCAAGGTCAGTTCCCCAGTGAACTCCACATGCCTCTGCTCCTCCAGAACTGAGACGGAGGGTTTAGGGTTTACTGTAGAGATCTGAGTTCAACGAACCTTCCAGAGAGTTCCACTACAGTTAGTAGTAGCGATAGCCGTAAACAACAGGACAGAAAAATGATGCTCCTACTCATAACCGCAAAAAAACAGCAATAATCACAGTTTGTGATTGAACGCGGGAACCGCCTCGAAACTTTGACCTGGCACTCCCAGAAAACTATTATGAATGCCGACGAAAGGTTGCATATCAAAGCCAACGACAAGAGCCTTTTTGGTAGTCATACCAGGTTAGCTATGACCAGCAATGGCGGGAAGAAACCACCTGAAGAAACAGAAATCGTAGTGGTGTCCTAAACCCTAAACTCCTAAATCCGGAACCCTAAGCCGACCGATGCTGGTGGCTCCTTCGGCTTGAATAGCAGGACCAAAGGCTTTGCCGGCTGGACCTCTTCGCCCGGCTCCTGCAAGGGCCTTGAATCGGAGTCCCACTCGATGCCCATGTCCTTCGAGGCTTTTTGTTCGGTTTGGGCTTTACCGGTTCTGGGGTTCAGACCTTCAGGGTGGGATGAAACTTCAGTTTCTGGCCATCTTGCAGGTTTAGAGGTGGCTGAAAGTCGAGAGTCAGGCTGAAGACTTCGTTGAAATCACATAACCAAGCCCGACCGAGGGCCTCCTTGCCTTTAAAAAAGACAGAGACATTTCAAGCGCTGAACCCGGCTTCCTGCGGAAGCCTGCCGTTGAAGGCAGCCCCGAAGAGCGCGTGGCCCCGCAGCTGTCGTGCCACGGCTCGGAAGCGAGGGTACCATGGATCCTGCATGATTCCCTTGCAGAGGATTCCACTACGGGTTCTATCCAGAGGGCAAGACTTGTTGCTTAGCGTTTCTACAATGACAACGCATGGTCGACACTTTCCCTGACCCAAGGGTCTTGGCTCTTCTCCAGGTGGAAGAAGCCCATGATGGCAGTGTCGAAAGCAGTGGTGACCCGGTCAAACTGTGTTTTGTTCGCGACTTCGCTGACCACCGGAAGCAGGTGCTTGTAGCAATCAATCTGCACCTCTTCAGCAAATCGGCGGCCTGGCACCAGATATGGTTCGGTCTTCTCGTCCTGCTTGAACAGGAGAAGGTCGCAAGTATCGCTGCAAGACACATTGTGTCTTCTGGCGAAATACTTTTCTTCCCTCGCATCCATGGCTCCGAACGCCACCATGTCCAGGTGATCCTTGTCACGGCTCAGGCGCGCGGCTTTCGTAAACTCACGATCTTTCTCCTTGCACTTGTCGCACCATGGAAAGCGAGGAGCTAGGACCACCAGGCTGTGCCGCTCCAGCAGGCGATCCAGGCTCGCCGCTGTGACCTTTCTGACATTCTGACCACTGGGCAGCTCGACCTCTTCATGTTCTTCCTCCAGGTCCCCATCATCCTGAGGGCATCGTAGACACGAACTCATGGAGTAGCTCGTCACCACGCAGAGTCCGACCCGTTAAGCAAATTCGGTCTCTACTCTCGGCCTCTAAAGGTTTCTAGCCCTGTTCTAAGGCCCTTGGTCCTGGACCCAGTCTTTCTTGAGGAAGTTTTTCACCGCCGTGTGGTTCTGCGCGAGGCGGTCCCAGCGATGGGGAATCTCCTTCTGCAGCGTGATGAGAACTCCGTCTGGTTGGGGGCTCACCTCCTGGAGACTGTGAAAACATTGATGCATGTATGTATGTATGTATGTATGTATGTAAGTATGTGTGTGTATATATATATACACACATACATACATGCATGTATGCATTACCGGAAGGACGTGAACGGCTTGGAGAACAAATTAAAGATGGAGAAGCACTCCACCAGTGCGGCTTCCGGCTATGTATATGTGTGTGTGTGCACCTGAGGTGGTTTTGGTCCAAGGAGTTTATTGACTTGTTGTCCCTGGAAGCTCGCTGAGCTCCATATTGCCTCTAGCCCTTTTGGGTGCTGTGACGAATCTAAGGCCAAAAAGAGCCCCACAGCCCATGGCACCTCTGAGTTGCGCAGCGCCCAAGAGGAGTTCGCGGGGGCAACGAACTCCCGAAGCTCGCAGCTGAGGATGAAAGGCCGCCTTTGCCAATCGTGGGCTCGCACGTCAACCTCGTTGCATGGGAAGCAGCAAGATATGATGGTTTTACAAAGCAGATATGTAGAGGGGCTGGGGAGCATCACGGTTCTCTTGACCAGGCGCAAGATGGTGCTGTGCACAGTGCTCAATGTCTTCACTCCACGCGGAGAAGCTTCGAAACAGTGCTATGGACACCAGAGTTGTGATCTACCCTACCGCCCGGGGTGCTGTCGGACCAACATACGCAACCCGAGTCGCAGCAAATGCAGCGGCAAAAGCGAGCAGAGAAGGGCAAGAAACAAGTGCTTCTATCAATCTTACAAACATGTATGACCCCCACGCAGCCCCAACTGCCACCCTCAAAAGTCTATGATATCATATAAGTCTCCTATAGTGACTAAATACAGTACCACGACAACAATGACGATGAAAGCTTCCAACTGGCCTGGTCTATCTTCAGGCTGACATTCACCGAGTCTACTTGCCTGGGCTGTTCTTGCCGGCACTGTAAAACAAGCATTCGAAAACCCTCTTCCGCCTTACTATACTAAAACCTAGCCAGTACATACAAACCAAAAATGCTAAATTACTATACCAAGACCTTACATACAAACCAAACACACTAAAAACAAAGCTGTTTCAAGAGCAGCCTAAAGTTGCAGCTTCGGGATGGCGACAGAAATGCGGATCTGCTCCTTCGACTGGCCCCAAGCGAACCTCGGCTGCGCGCCTCTCTGCAAACAAACGGCTCTTCTCCTCTCTTCCGTTTGTGCCCAAATAAGAAGCAATGTTCATATGCAGATACATACATGGGTAGTTCTCTAAAATAGTGTCACTTTTAGGGTCCTTTTTGATAAGGGTGCNNTGCCGTACTATATTGGGGACCTACCCACATAGACATGTATGGATCTCCATCCGATATGTAGCTGGCATGGGGTGTGAAGACAGATAGACACATGGACAGAAAGATACATGGGTATGTGCGCTCGTCCCTACGCAGGAAGAGTCGAAAGAAGCTGCTAAGAGGGCAAGCAGGCAGATGAGCGGGTAAATCGACAGCGTGCCTTTTGCTTACAGTTGCAGTTGCATCTACATCTGGGCACACCAGTCCGAGATATATAGGTTCGCCCGGTGCCCAGTGCTGCGACTTCTGAAGTGTTGTCTTGGAATTTGCCAACGCGGATCCCACAGCTCCCTGCAAAGGTTTACATAAGAAGCCTTTTTCTTCAAGGACTTTGTAGGCAGGTGCGCACAACATCATGGGAGCTTTCTCGGCATCGACTCTCGGGTTAGCCAGGCGAGGTTCGGGCGGGTCGGGCAAATATTTGTCGGAATCGTTTGTCATCTGATGCCACTGAGCGCAACAAAGCCTTAAACCCTCCAGAGCAAGCAAAGAAAAAGTGCCATGGCTCCTTGAGCTCGGGAACAGCGNNNNCCCCCCCCCCCCCCCCCCGCCTCCAAGCCCTAAACTGGCCCAAGGCCCACACCGTGCCCTCAAACAAAAACTCACTCGACCTCAGCGCATCAATCCCAAATCCAAGCATGGACGGATTGGGCCCCGTTCGAGCATGACCCTAAACCCTGTAAGCCTTATAACCCTACACAACCCGAAAGATGAAACCTACTCCAGGCGACCTTAATCTATACCCTTTTTGAACCCAGGCTTAAATAATCCTCCCTCCGGCAAGTCCCCCCTTCCCTAAAATGCCATGCTACTTGGGGAAGGAAAGGCTCTGAGCTCTCCTCCGCCTCCCGGGCTGCCTTCTCTCGCCGCTGCTGCTCTTCCATCTTCTTCTTCTCCTCAAGGGCTTGGGCCGCTAGATTATGAATCCTTTGGGTCTAGGAATGTGTAGGGGTTTCTATTTCCATGGGCATGGATGGGTTTGTCTACGGCGTTTTATCTACGGCTTACGAGGCTTTGCATATTTAGGGCTTCGGCGGTTGAGTCGTTGGTGCGCTCAAGGGGGTGAAGTCTTCTGGCGCTGTAGACATAGATATAGGTATGAATACCGATTCAGTTACAGGTAAGGGGGCACAGATATGGATATGTGATGTAGCTACAGAGATTACACAAGCGACCTCGCGGTCCTGCACTAGTCCCTTACTGGGGGTGGGCGCATCGAAGGGCTATCATAGGATGACTACGAGGAGTTACTATTAAGGTTACTATGAGGCGTGCTTAGTGGAAAGATCCTTGTACTTAAGGCTCCATACTACGATGTTCAGCGAAAATCGGAGAGGGACAGGGCTTTTGTGTCCTGAGCTTGGCTGCTCACGGCTGCTCTCTTGGAAGGGGCTGCAACAGGCTGAACAAGAGAAGCGGTTGAACAACAATCGGTTGGAGGGCCTTAAGTCTCTTCATTCCTTCTCTGTGTGCATGAGAGGTAGGCATCCCACACCCTGCATCGAGTGAGTCAGAGTCCAGGCTCCGCCTTTCCGTTTCCAGCACGAAGCTCAGAAGGCATCTATGTCGACGTGACGATCTGCAAAACCACCGCACCACTGCCAGAATTTTTACGTGCAATGCCAGCCCTAAAAAAGCCCTAAACGCGAACCCCTAAAGGCATCCCGAAAGGAACCCCATGGCCATCACCCCTGTTGCGTCACTCGACCCCGTAGCGTTCAGGGGCCTGAACACTTAGAGCAGGGTTTTGGATGGCTTTGGGGCCTTTGGTACACAAGGACTACAATGGCATGTGTCATTCATTCTTCAAGTCCAGAGTACTCTGTGCTTCCATTCCTCTCAGAGACTCCAAAACCCTCTTAAGATTGATTCCATTAAAGATCCCCCTATCATGATCTGTGTCTTGTTCATGTTCTTGCCTCTGAAGTATCCGGGAAGCACCTTTACAAGACAAAGCAAACTGACTAAACACATTCTCTGGCCCTCCTGGCGCTGCTTCTCGAGCTCCAGCCGCCGTTTCCGCTTCTCGCGGTCTTTCTTGGCAATGTCTTTTTGCCTCTCGAAAAGGCGCGCTCCAAGAAGTTAGGGCTGTAGGGTCAGAAGTAACCCTGACATCTTGGTGACCACCAGTCACCAGGCGCACTCAGCTGTTGACCCGTAACTTCGAAAATCCCGGTTTCCTTTTGCTACATACTGCTCAGCTGTACCCCCTTTGAGCATGTCTGATCTTTGCAGCTAGCGTCTGGTAATCGCATCCAGTTTCCTAAGCCCATGAAGTCGCTGTGCCGTAAGATTCCTCCAAGCCAAAACAGCAATCGTATCTACCAGCCTGGAACGTGTCCCCGATACCGCCCCTGCCGGCCCTGTGATAGTATAAGATGATGGTGCTGACAGGGCGGCAACTGCAAATATTGCCGTTAATTTCGTCTTGGTGCCCCACATGCCATTCCAACTCTAACCTTTCGCGTTCAGACAGCCTGGCAGAGCAAAGCACAACCGATTCCATAACGAGAAGTGAACTCTGAGGCCCTGGGCTCGCTAAGTCCTTCCGGCTACATCGTGTTGTTTAACCTGGAGCTCAGGGTTTAATTAAGACTAGCCGCAGCATTGCAAGCAGGGCTCAAGGTTCGAGGTTGCGCTGTCACAGGTCGGAGGATCCAAGCAAGGCTCCGTATGTTGGGGACCCAGCCACCTGCTAGTAACCCTTAAGGACCAAGCGACCCTTTAAAGTAGGGGCGATAGACAATTGCACTATCAAGCCCTCCCACTATGGTGCCCTTTTAGGGCTCTTTTCGTCCTTTCTTAGGACTGCAAAGACCCCTGGCCTCTTCTCCTCCTGCTGCAGCTGCGCTCTGCGAGCTGTCCTCTTCTGCTCTTCATCTGCCACGGGTAGCGACAAACGAATCATGTTCTGTTGTGGTTTCGATGAAAGAGTACCTTGGCTGAAACTTCGCAATGCCCCACAGGCTCCAAAAAAAGCTCCACCGACGGCGAGAACGGCTCATAGCATTGCAGGACGCCCGGACCGTTTTATGACCATGCTGGCAACAACCGCATGATCGTGTGAAGACAAGGCCATTCGACTGGATCCAGGTGTAGGCAGCAGTACCTTTATTGGCTGGACCTAGTTGGAATCCCCTTGCGAACAGACCGTTCACCTTTTGCAACGACAGAGATGGAATAGGTAATCGTTAACCCTGACAGCGACCCTATAGTACTCTACTCGGATCCTTGCTTCAGGAAGCTCATCACCAGGCCTGTTGCACTCAGCTCGTCAGTCTGCTTCCTTAGTTGAAAGTAGCTCTGAAGCTTCAGGCTCCGGGTTCAACTCTGCAACCCTAAACCCGAAAAACTCGAAGCCCTTGAAGCTCTAAACCCAAAACCTATACAGTACAGTTCCTAAAGGGGCTCGTTGCAGCTGCCGGGCCGCCAGCTGACTCCTAGATTTTGTTCAGAGCGAAGATTAACCGTAGTAGACCCGAAGGCTACCTACAATCAAAGGACTTGCCGGAAGTCCTAAGCCAACAGAGCTACTTACACTGCAAGGGAGCTTGCGCTGCTCTGACTCCTCTACATCATCAGCCATCGCAGTTTTATACTCTGATGAAGACGCTCAGGAAACGCGATGTTCGATCGTCTCTACGTCCAAGGTCGAAGGCCCAAATCAAGGACGTATTCCAAGCCCTGTAATCCGAAGCGCTTTGCCATGGGACTGGATGGCTGCCAGAATCCATTTTCTTGCTTCCCAAATCCCATCGTTCGAAAGAAGCCTAAGCACAGTCCGTAACAGCCATAAACACCGAAAACCTAAGCCCTCCAAGCGAGCCTTAAATCATTGAGCTCAACAAGCCCTAGCCAGCCCAAAAGTCCACCCGAAACTCTAAACCTTGAACCCAACACTGCCCTAACTCCCAGACTAATTCCCCAATGGCAACGACCCAAGTTCATATACTGCAAACCCTTTACCCTAAACCCTACATCCTAAACCCTACACCCTCAACCCTAAACCCGGAACGAGTCAACGCCCCAAGTTCCTGGCAGGCTGCGGAGCTTTTGCCCTGCCTTTCCCAGCTTTTGGAGGCGAGGGCTCGGATCCAAGAGCATCTGCGGCCTTCCTGGGCAGGGCTTCCCACCCACCCCTCCATCCTATAATTGCAACTGTGTATGTATATTTACATACCTCTATATATATATGCTTATGATCTGTATCTGTATGTGGAATGAATATACACTGCTTATATATATATATGTGTGTGTGTATCTATACACACATCTGAATGTGTGTGTGTGTGAGTGCACATGTGTATACACATACATACACACACACATATATATATATATGTATGTATATATATATGTAGTATATGTATGTATGTATGTCTTCTTCCTTCGGGTTTGAGGGGAGTGCAAGTCCCCCCGGCCCTTAGGGCCCCCCAATGATTGTGGGGCTTTGGAGGCAGTTCGGGCAACAATGTCTCTCTCTCTCTCTCTCTCTCTCGGCCTGTGTGAGAAAGAGAGAGAGAGAGAGAGTCCTGTATGAGGCTAAATGGGCTTTAGAGTTTTGGAAGGGTTCGAGCGATTAAGGCTCCGGTTTTACTGGGTTTAGGGATTTTGGGGGGTTCGAGATTAGGGTGAATTTGAGGGGTGGATAGGGATTGGGGACTTTACAGCGCGAAACTTTTCGAACATCGCTGAGCTTAAGGGTACAAGGCTTCGGCCTTTGGCTTCAGAGCTTTGTGCGTTTCTAAAGTGTAAGGTCGGTGGTTTGCGCGTAGCACCTGGATGGCTAGAGTGGGTCTACTCAGGTGCTGCAGGGCTGTTGGCATCGGGTTTATTGGGTATGTATATAAATAGAAATATAAATAATTGCGTATATTATATACATCTATATATATATATGTATGTATGTATGTATAGAGCTCAGAAACTTGGACCCCCTTAGGATGCGCAAAAAGACCCCTGAACAAGACTGTTTAGGACGTCCAGGATTTCCAGGAAAGAATGGAACCTCGCTGTACAACAGCTCACAAGGGATCAATCCTTCCTTCGCCGAAGTGGATGCTTTCGTGACTTTGTCCCTCAATTCCCAGCCCTGAAGTCCCCCATGAAATTTCCGACAATACTGAACTGAAAGACCCACCCACACACAGAATCACAGAGAGAGAGGGAGAGAGAGAGAGAGAGAGAGAGAGAGAGAGAGCGAGAGCGAGAGAGAGCGAGAGAGAGAGAGACAGACAGACAGATAGACAGACGGACGGACGGACGGGCGGACGGAAGGACGGACGGACCGACGGACGACGGACAGACAGACGGACAGACAGGCACACAGGCACACAGACACAGACACACGCACACACACACACACAGACACACAAAAACAACAAAAAAACACTGACAAACAGAGAGAGAGAGAGAGAGCGGGAGAGGGAGCCACACGCACAGCGAGGTGGCTTGGAGGTTCATGGGTGGTTACAATCGGAGTTACAAGTCCCATAGTATGGGTTATAGCTATAGTTATCCTACTGACAACCCTACCCTACTTAAATCTAAATCGATGAACCTCTAAGTAGGGCGTGTTGTTTCTTGGCCATCACAGTCGCATGTATCCAGGCATGACTCGTCGCAAGCGGCAGACAAGCAAAGTTACTCGCGAGGTTCATCCTAAATCTTACCTCCGGCGGAATTAAGAATCCCAAATCCCAGCTGTGCACAACCTTGCAATGGCGTTTGTTTTGCACATGGCCATAAGATTACGTCACACATCTTCTTGCAGCACCGCTGCATTCATCGTTTCATTGCCCGGCAATCACGTAGGCTAGGCAGATCAAGGGTATAGCATCTAGTGGCTAGTGGCGCTGGATAAGTGCCGCGGTGCTCCAAGTAGAACCCACCTTCAACCTTGCACCTCTTGCAAACAATGGTTTGGTTCACACCGGGTTGCTTCAAGCCCATCATCTCCCCAACGTCCACCATGCCCTTCTCCTTCAGAAAGGCAGCGCAACATCAGGCGAGATCTGTCTACGGCTCTGCGGCCCCGAGCCAGTTCGTGCAAACAAACATATCTAGCAATCTATAGTAGATATATATATATAATTATATATATATATATAATGTTATAAATGTGCGTGCGGCCGTACTCCAAGACCTGGCTCGTCCCCCAAAATTTCCCGCATGGGTGACCCCACTGTATATACTTGAAAAGCAATCCTCACGCGCTGTAAGTAAGTCCCACTGAAGGCCTCTCCTTCTTGAGCGTGGTCATCATCTTCTTGATCATCTGTTGCTTGTCCTCCTCTGCCCGGTCGTCCGCTTGCTGCTGGAGCTTCGCGTAGCCCATAACCTGCTACTTCCCAAAAAGAAATTAGGAAGGCATACCAAGCTTCAAGATTACTGTAGCACAAGGATGCGGCTTGCAGGCATGAATAATGCTTCTGCTGAGCCGTTAGAGGGTTCATGTAGGGATTCTATGCCGGTCTATATGGGGTCTATGGGAGCAGAGGCACCTCCTCAGAGATGTCGGAGGAGACCTCCAGGGCTTCTTTCAAAGACCAGCGCGACATGGTCTGCTTCTTGAACCTTCAGGGTCAGGGTTTATTGGGCTTGGGGTTCCGGGTGTAGGGTCAGGGTTTAATGGGTTTGGGGTTCCGGGTTTAGGGTCAGGGTTTATTGGGTTGGGGGTTCCGGGTTTAGGGTGGTTTTTTGAGGTCTCTGCTACGGTCCGGGACGAAGAGTTGGTGGTTTTGACTGTTTGTCGGCAGAAGCTTCGGAGTGGGGGCTCCATGAGGTTTACAGGTTTGGGGCCTTCCTCCGTCCGTTGTGTCTTGTTTCCTGGCGTCAGGTTACAGTGGGGTTCGGGGTTTTCGCGTCGTGGGCTTTTGGGATCGTGGCAGGGGTTTGGGGTTCAGGGCTGAAGGGTTTTGGATTGATTGGCTCAGGGCTTTAAGGTTCAGGACTCTCATAACCAAAGCTTTGGCGATCGCTGATGTTCCAGTTTAGGACAATGGAAGTATGGCATTGGCCTTTGTGTCAACGGTCTGGGTCCTGACCCCAACATCTCTCGTTGGGTGCTTGTTGGTGTAGACTCGGTGAAAGGTGGACCTGTAAAGCAAAACTGAGGATTTCTTGACCCGGGGAGTGGCGGAGGCAAAGAATCTCAGCCGAAAGCTGTCAAACCCTGAAACCATAAGAACCCTATAACTAACTCAAACCCTCAAGCTAAATGTTGGCTCATGGCGTTTTGAGTGGTTTCGACTCACACACTCGCAAAGCAGGCATGGCGGGTACGGTTATTGAGTGGGTTAGAACCGAGGAGCCACTTCAGGAGCTTTGCAGGAGACGCCTCATCAGCCTCTCCTGGCAGTTTCTTGACGTTTGTGCTCTTTAGGGTGCTCTTACTGGGGCAGCTTAGGGCGAGAGATTCCTAAGGTTCAGGGCCTGCGGACCCCGCAGCTGGGCAACACCCGCCGAGGTTCTAGGATTCTGGGGTTGCCTCATGCTGGGGGCTGAAAAATAGTTAGAATTGGCTTGGGGGGTAATACTCTACTAATCTATGACTATCATCAGAATCAGGAACCCCTCAGGGGTAGTATGGGCTTGCTTTAGACTTCGACATCAAGTGCTCCTGGATACTTCACAGGCACTCCGGGCGTCCACTCTCCAGTGGCGATGCTTGGAGGAATCCTCAACTGCAATGACGTTGCTCTTCACGCCCATTCGCCCAAAAACAGTAAAGTTAGGGATCAGACTAATTGTTGAGGGCTTTGGGGCTTAAGGGTTCAGGGTTTATCAGTTTTAATTACGGGGTTTAAGGCGTTGAAGGCTTCAGGATCTGCTCTCGGCATGCTTCGAGATGTATTAGGCCCGTTCATGGTGGATGAGGCCCCGCCACTGCATTGTGTGGCAGTGTCAGAAAACAAAGAATCTCCAACACAAAGACCCTACTTGACTTGGCTCTTACTATAGGATCCCCGCAAAACGAGCCCTAAGTAGGTTGTGTTTATAAGGTAGAGTTCATCAATGGTCTTTCATCCCAAAGGACGGCACATCAGCAAATCATCAGGTTTATGTAAAAAGCTTCGCACAAGCACACTCTCGCTCTCGCTCGCTCGCTCGCTCGCTCGCTCGATCTCTCTCTCTCTCTCTCTCTCTCTCTCTCTCCCTCCCTCTCTCTCTGCTTTGCTAGGGGTAGGAACTAGAGGCACGCTCTCTGTCTCTCTCTCTCTCTCTCTCCCTCCCTCCCTCCCTCCCTCCCTCCCTCCCTCCTTTGCTTTGCTTTGCCAGGGGTAAGAGCTAGGGTCAAGTTTGTGGAACGAACTTCACATGTTTGTTCTTCGTATTGCTTATCCTTTGTCATGTATTTATTTACTTCCTTCTATTCGCGTAGTTGTGTATTTTGAATTGGTTACATCTACATCCACACACAGTGTAATTCGCATATACATACATACACGCATACGTGCATACATGCATACATTCCACAAGTAGGCGTACCTTCAGAAATAACATGCCCTCTACATGCATACTAGGCCGTGCAAGCTGACCCAACGGTCAGTGTCCAAGAGAAGAGCCGGAGGACCAGAAGTACTCCGTCTCCTTGGAGAACTGCTTCCGTCCGAAGATGGCAGGCACGTAGTTCTGACTCACCTCCATGCGAGCGATCTTAATGTCGGCGTAGTCCTTCAGGGTCTTTGCCAGGACATCCATCACAGCAGATGCGACGTGCTGTCTTTTGCGTTGGTCGTCGTAGAGCTCCAGAAGCACATCAGAGGTGCTGCCATTAATCCTTACTTTAGGGGCACTTCGAAGTAGCCTCTCGGATTTCATAAGGATGCAACTACGTGACCCAAGGGCCAAAAATTGGCTCGCAAAGCTTAGATCTTAGAATGCTTGCTTGACAGTTGGGGATCTCTCTTTGGTAGGTCTTCCAGACCACGTCTAAGACTTGGCCACGTAGCCACTTGGAGCTGTTGGTCACGAGACCAGACTCCTCGGCTGGAAATGGGAGCTGCAGGAAACAAAAACATCATGAAAGTGGTGCAATCTTTGTCGTTGTTATTCTTATTGTTATTATAATTGTTGTTATTCGTTGTTCTTCGCAGTAATGACAATATTAATATACTAGTAGATGTAGCTCTGTCTATACAACCCTTATACCCTTTGAAGCCTTTGAAGCTACTAGAAGCCAAGGCGCGTGAGAGGGCGGCACACGACCGGCCAACACTCGCCCGACCCAGGAGGACATCTCCCTTGTGGCCCGCTTCGGGCTGCTAAAGAAGCCGAGCACCGTGCGGTTCACCGGCTCCTTAAAGGGGTAACCGTACCGGTCCCCGGCGCCAAATCCTAACTTGCGGGTAACACCGAAGAAGGGGAAAGGATAGGGCTCGTGGCTGCCATACTCGCGCTGGTAGTAGGAATAGGACTGGTCCATGACGCAGCAAAGAATGTGCTGCGAGGCGTTGGTGCCTCGGCGCTTGCTGCAAAGGCTGCGAAATGCCGTAAGAGCAGCGGTGGTGGCATTCGTGTTGTTCGTATCTGAGTAGTTCACCCAGAGAACTCCCACGGGCATCCCGATTGCTCCTAGTTGATCCCTCAAGTCCCAAGTGTAATTTTGCAGCATCGGCTGCGCGTGCACGCGCGCGAAGTGTGCCAGGTAAGTCGCGTTCAAAGGCGACAGGCTACCATCAAAAGGAATCGCCGGAGTGTCAGCTCGGACCTCCGACCTCCAGAGCTGGATAGAGGAGCTTCTGAGTGGGCCTGTTGCTTCCATTGCAAAAGCCGCCGTCCCCCTCAGCTCCCGAGCTGCGTGGCGGAAGGCGGTTGCATTCACCCCGGCTCCGATGACAGCTGTATCCCATCGCCGTCGAAACTCCGGAACTTCGCTGGTCTTGGAGAGGTCAGAGACGGCCCTGGGCATCAGCAAGGCAAGGTCCCGCTCAAAGCGGTCGAAGTTGGGCTTTGTAGTTTGGCCCTTGGGAGTGTGACCCGGCATTCCTGCCATCGGGTCTCCCATCATGGCTGCCTCATCCATCTCATAGAGCAGTTGCACTTGAAATGTGTAGGGCTCATTGAGGGGCTCGTCCGGCTTGAAGACATGAAGAGGGCATTTGCTCTTGAGGCACAGGTGCAAGCCGTCTTCCCATACGCTCCTGGCAAGGTCCTTTTCCTCCCGGAGGTCCAAGACTCCGAACACCACATCAGCAAACTCCTCCTTGGCACCTGCTACCTTGCTCACCTGGCATGTTGCGCACGTTTCCGGCTGACATCGCAAGCTTGTGACACCTCTAGGCCTCGTTTTCCGAATTTCAAACTGCTGTTTTAGGGAACTTCAGCTGAAGAGACATAGAAAAAGGCCGGCACATCCAAGCCACCTTTACGAAGGCCTTGTCCTTCTCCTCGCAGGCTGTGCACCAGGGATATCGCATGGCGACGACGAGGACCGAGGCTTTGGCAGCCTCTTCCAGGCTTCTGCTGTTGAGACGTCGAAGGTTCAGGGCACGGGGCAGCTCAACCTCATCCTCATCCGGCAGGTTCCTCAGCGACTGCCGCTGACATAGGGGAAACAAAAAGGAACTGTGGACCTCCGCAAACCTGGTTTAGGGCTGATATGGGGCTTCTAGGATTTATAGGGTTTAGGGAAGTTTAGGGCTAAAGCTTACAGGGTTGGCAAGATTCCGATCTTCTCGCTTCCAATCTCTGGGCAGACCAAAGGACGTCTCATCCATAAACGGACGATCCCATCTGTGTTGGATCCTGAGTTCCGGAATAGTTAAGTTCACTCCAACTTCACTCCAACCCTTCTAGAATCCTAGAAGATCGCCTTTAGCAGCCACGGCAAGCCTCCTGTTCATATGGGAATTTCAGTGGTAACCGTGCAGTATCAATCAACTGACAGCTGCCGAAAAAAACCATGCCTCACCTGTCAGAAGCACTTAACTACTAAACAACACAGCCTACAGATCTCTACCTTTGAACCCTAAGCACTACAAGCAAACTGACCTGAAGACTCCACCGGCCCCTTAAGGAACGCACCTTAGAGTAGGATCGGAAATCGGAGGCGTACTTCCTGAGTAAAGGGGACGTGGGCCCACTGAGAACCCCTACACCCCCTAAACCCTAAACCCTACCCTACAAACCCGGTTTTTGACCCCGTGCGATCATATGATAAAATCCGGGCGAGACTCTAGCAAACCCTCTGTATCAGAATCCTAGGAAGGCCAGCGCTAAACCGTGAGCCCTAAACCCTAAATCCAAAACGACCATAATAACCCCTTGTTCAAAAGCTGCCAAAACCTTAACATCCCAAAAACCCTATCATCGACCCTATGGACCCTAAACCCCTTAAGCCTTATAGAGCCTTCGAGCCGTCTTCGACATCCATTGGACCTTTCGACCCCTCGGTGCAGCCCAAGAGGCCTCTTTCGTAGTAGGAGGAGCAGACCCGAGACGCTTCCGACGCTGGGCCCAATGCGCTCTGATCGCGAGGCCTCTGGTAGAATGTCCTGAATTCGTTTTTTGTTCGGGCCTTTGGGCTATTTTTCGGACGTACGGCTTGAGGAGCCCTTTTTTCTTTGCCTTTTGCCTGGCTAGGACGACTGGGGTTGAGGGCTGAGGATTAAAGTTTACAGCTTTCCGGGTTGGGGCTTTAGCTGTGGTGTCATGACGAAAGATGCGCGAAGGTCGGCAGTCCACCTACTACCCCTGAGGCCCTGAGTTTGACTCAGTCAACTTGGAATGCAGTAGTTTTTGGTTCCGAAATCAGCCAACACAGCCCCAGCGGGAATCCAACTCACAATTCTCCTCTCGGAGCTCCATCTCCCACTGCAGCTTCTCTGCGACCCTCCCGCTGCAGCTGGCCGCGATGGAGATTCGGTCGTACCTCAAAGGAGGTTCAAGTCGGTCTGTCCCGAAGGCCCTAAGATTTCTGGAAGCTCCCAGAACTCGGGATTTGTGCCTATTTTCCCTCCCACTTAGCAAGGACGAGCCAGCATTTGTGCAGATAGACTTAGGGCTTGCATGCCAGAAGGGCTTGTCAGCACTCTAGGGCCTTGCAGGGTCACGGGGGCCCAAAGCCAACTGAAGCGGCCGGTTCAAAGCGGTTGGGAGCCAAGCACAGGGCAGGAGGTCTCCGGGCCGTGTCCCTAGTTCGGCGCACTGCAACTCGGCTTCAACGATCGGTGTCTCTTCGGCAGTGCATCCAGGCCTCGTCGTAGCGAAGGAATTCTGACCGGAGTTGGGATGACGCTGACGGGGCAATTGTAATTGCGCGGCATAGGGCATTGGGTACTTCTAGTCGCCAAGAACCCACGGCAACTTCGAAAGCGCCTTCACCAGAAAGGCTCTTCTGCAAGACTCCGAATCTTGGACATCTCAACATGATAGGGCCTTAGGAAGAGTCCCAAGGAAACAACAAGCCAATCATTCGCTGTGAAACCCTATGGATCTAATTCATGCTGGAGTCTGAACAAACTCCCGAGCACAAATTACACAGCCCCCAAAACGCCCACAGAATCCCAATCCTTGAAGAATACTCAAAGCCCCGGGACCCCGAGAGTCTCCAACCCTTACACAACTGCACAATCCTACCACCATCTGTCACGAAAAGAACTTCAGTTGAAACTCGGTTGACTCATTGACCAAGAGTTAAAAAAAAGGGGCTACTACGCAAAATCAAGCGACTATGGCTTCCACCAAACATGACTACTACACATGTGAGTGATACTTGCTCAGACCATAATAGCAACTCCTACTATAGAAACCCTACTTTCCACTGTATAGGTGCATAGGACCCCTTGTGTGTATGTGTGTGTGTGTACAAACCCATGACGAGTTGTTACACGCATGGGTATCCAACACCCTTGGAAAAAAGGCAGCCACACCGTGGAACTGAATTGCTTAACATACCTTGGGTTAAACTTCCCAAATTCCCTGACTCTGCACATATATGTATATATGTATATGTGTGTGTATATCTATACATGTGTGTATAACCATGTTTTGCAGTATATAGTAGTACAGTTGCATATTAAGGAACCCGAGAAATAGTCTTGGGAACTACTCAGGCCCACACATATATATATATATGGGTAATGTT